TGTTGCTGTTGTTAGACCTGTCGGCAGCGTTCAACATGGTCGACCACCAACTACTGATCTACTACCTTGCTGACACCGGGATTCAGGGGTTTGCCTTGCAGTGGCTCTCCTTGTTCCTTCAAGGTCGGGGACAAAGGGTGGCTGTCGGGGAGCATGTCCAGAATGCACCCACTGATTTGCAGAGTGCCCCAAGGAGCGGTGCTCTCTCCGATGTTATTTAACATCTATATGCGGCCCCTTGCCCAGATTGCCTACATCCAATATGCGGATGACACCTAGCTCTATCGGCTGTTGGACGGCCAGTCAGACTCTAGTCCAGAAGGTCTGGACCTGGCGTTGAAAGCTATGGCTGGTTGGCTTAGACTGAGTCGACTGAAATCGAATCCGATGAACATAAGAACATAAGAACATAAGAGACGCCAATGTTCGATCAGGCCAAAGGCCCATCCCGTCCAACACTCTATGTCACACAGTGGCCAGAAATACCAGTGCCATCAGGAGGTCCACCAGTGGGGCCAGGACATTAGAAGCCCTCCCACTGTTGACCCCCCCCAAGCACCAAGAAGACAGAGCATCACTTGCCCCAGAGCCCCTATCTATACCTTGTGGCTAATAGCCACTGATGGACCTCCATGAAGATGGAGGTCCTGTGCTTCAGAGTGGTCCAAGGTTAGGGATCCCACTCCTGACCTTTGATGGGGCACCGCTGGTGCCAGCGCCAGAGATTAGGAGCTTGGGAGTGCTCCTGGATGCTTTCTTAATGATGGAGGCCCAGGTAGCAGCCACTGTGAAGTCAGCCTTTTACCATCTGCGGCTGATCAGGCAGTTGGTTCCCTTCCTTGAACGCAACGACGTGGCAACACTGATACACACACTGGTCACCTCGAGACTGGATTACTGTAATGCTCTGTACATGGGGCTGCCCTTGTCCCAAATCCGGAAGCTGCAGCTGGTGCAGAATGCAGCGGCCAGGCTGTTACTGTGTCTCCTTATGCAGGAACACATCCAGCCTGCGCTGAAAGCACTGCACTGGCTGCCTATAGCATACCGAATTCAGTATGGTTCTTACCTTTAAGGCCCTATATGGTCAGGGACCTACATACCTAAGGGACCACCTTTCCCCATGTGTTCCTCAGAGAGCACTAAGATCAGGGTCCCAAAATTACCTGATGCTACCAGGCCCTAAAGAAGCCAGGCTAGCTGTGATGAGGGCCAGGGCCTTCTCAGTGGCAGTCCCACACTGCTGGAATGAATTCCTGGATGACATCAGGGCCTTGTGGGACCTTTTACAGTTCTGCAGGGCCTGTAGAATGGAGCTCTTCCACCAGGTCTTTGATTAGAGAGCCGCCCCTTCTAACATTGAGGCCCTGGCCCCAACACCAACATCAATTTTGAGGAAGACTCAGCATGGGTTCTGTAAGGGAAAATCTTGTCTCACTAACCTGTTAGTGTTCTTTGAGGGAGTGAACAAACATGTGGACAAGGGGGACCCAATAGATGTTGTTTACCTTGATTTCCAGAAAGCTTTTGATAAAGTTCCTCATCAAAGGCTCCTAAGTAAGATCAACAGTCATGGGATTAAAGGACAAGTCCTCTTGTGGATCAAAAACTGGCTAATTAATAGGAAACAGAGAGTGAGTATAAATGGGCAATTTTCTCAGTGGAGGGTGGTAAGCAGTGGGGTACCACAGGGATCAGTACTCGGTCCGATGCTTTTTAACTTGTTTATTAATGATTTGGAGTTGGGAGTAAGCAGTGAAATGGCTAAATTTGCAGATGACATGAAGTTGTTCAGGGTGGTGAGAACCAGAGAGGATTGTGAGGCACTCCAAAGGGATCTATCGAGGATGGGCAAGTGGGCATCAACGTGGCAAATGGGGTCAATGTGGCCAAATACAAAGTGATGCACATTGGAGCCAAAAATCCTAAATATAAATACACACTGATGGGGTCTGAACTGGCAGAGACTGACCAAGAGAGAGATCTTGGAATCATAGTAGATAACTCAATGAAAATGTCAAGACATTTTGCAACTGGAATAAAAAAGGCCAACACAATGCTGGGGATTATTAGGAAGGAAATTGAAAACAAATCAGCCAGTATCATAATGCCCCTGTATAAGTCAATGGTGCAACCTCATTTGGAGTACTGTGTACAGTTCTGGTCACCACACCTCAAAAAGGATATTATAGCATTGGAAAAAGTGCAGAAAAGGGCAACAAGTATGATAAAAGGGTTGGAACACTTTCCCTATAAAGAAAGGTTAAAACGCTTGGGGCGCTTTAGCTTGGAGAAACGAGGGCTGAGGGGTGACATGATCGAGGTTTATAAGATTATGCATGGGATAGAGCAGGTTGAGAAAGAAGTACTTTTCTCCCTTTCTCACAATACAAGAACTCGTGGGCACTCAATGAAATTGCTGAGCAGTCGGGTGAGAACAGATAAAAGGAAGTACTTCTTCACCCAAAGAGTGATTAACACATGGAATTCACTGCCACAGGAGGTGGCGACAGCTACAAGCATGGACAGCTTCAAGAGGGAATTAGATAAGCATATGCTGGACCTCCTGATGGCACCTGGTATTTTTGGCCCCCGTGTGACAGAGTGTTGGACTAAATGGGCCATTGGCCTGATCCAACATTGGCTTTTCTTATGTTCTTATTTTAAACATTGTGATCAATAGCCTGTCAAAAACCCAGACTACGGCGGTAGTTGATTACCTTGGATGCTATGAATAACGTCATGGTTGTCAAGGACATTTAGATCCTTTTTGTATAGTTCTTCTGTGTATTCTTGCCATCTTTTCCTAATCTCTTCTGCTTCTGTTAGGTCTCTATCCTTTATTATGGCTAGCTTTGCATGGAACGTTCCCTTGATTTCTCCAATTTTCTTGAAGAGATCTCTAGTTCTTCCCATTCTATTGTTTTCCTCTATAGCTTTGCATTGTTCATTCAGGAAAGCCGCCTTATCTTTCCTTGCTGTTCTCTGGAAAACTGCAGTTGGGTAAATCTTTCCTTTTCACCTTTGCCTTTCACTTTCCTTCTTTCCTCTGCTATTTGAAAAGCCTCATCAGACAGCCACTTTGCTTTCTTGCATTTCTTTTTCTTTGGGATGGTGGTGATTGCTGCCTCCTGTACAATGTCACGAACCTCCATCCATAGTTCTTCAGGCACTCTATCTATCAAATCTAGTCCCTTAAAACTATTCTTCACCTCCACTGTATATTCATGAGGGATGTGATCCAAGTCAAACCTGAATGACCTACTGGTTTTCTCAACTTTCTTCAGTTTAAGTCTGAGTTTTGCAATGAGTAGCTCATGATCTGAGCCACAGTCAGCTCCAGGTCTTGTTTTTACTGACTGTATAGAGCATCTCCATCTTTGACTGCAAATGATATAATCAATCTGATTTCAGTGTTGTCCATCTGGTGATGTCCATGTGTAGAGTCACCTCTTAGGTTGTTGAAAGAGGGTGTTCGCTATGACCAACATGTTCTCTTGACAAAACTCTGTTAGCCTTTGCCCGGCTTCATTTTGTTCTTCAAGGCCACACTTGTCCGTTATTCCAGTTACCTTTTGACTTCCTACTTTAGCATTCCATTAGAAAGGGTAACTTCTCTCAAATGAGGGGGATTGTGAAGAAGAAACTGAAAGGTAAGGTAAAGAGGGTCAAATCCCTTTGGGAAGCTTGGAGACTACAATACTGGAAGCTTGGATAAAATGTACACCGCAGGTAGGAAAGGTACAAATAAGTATACAAAAAGGCCTGCTTGGTTAATAAACAAAGGAAGCAGTATAAGGTAAGAAGGAGTCTTTTAAGCAGTGTAAGGCTAGTCTGAGTGAGGTAAATAAAAGGGAGCACAGGCTGTGGCAAATAAAATGCAAGTCAGTGATCAGTCATTAACATGTGGAATTCACTGCTGTAGGAAGCGGTGGTGGCTACAAGCACAGACAACATCAAGAGGGGATTGGATAAGCATATGGAGCAGAGGTCCATGAGTGACTATTAGCCACAATGTATAGACGGAACACCATGTCTGGGGCAGTGATGCTCTGTATTCTTGGTGCTTGGGAGTGGGAGGGCTTCTTGAGTTCTGGCCCCATTGATGGATTTCCTGATGGCACCTGGGTTTTGGCCACTATGTGACATAGTGTGTTGGGCTGCGCCATTGGCTTGATCCAACATCGGCTTCTCTTATGTTCTTACGAAGCTATTTATTTCATTCTCCAACCTGTGATGACTAACTAGCTATTGCTGCAGCAAACGCACATAGATTATTCTACTTCTGATGAACATTCTCACTGATTACTTGTAGAAGTCAAGAATTGTTTTGGCCACTATGTGACATACTGTGTTGGGCTGCGCCATTGGCTTCTCTTATGTTCTTACAAAGCTATTTATTTTATTCTCCACCTGTGATGACACTAGCTATTGCTGCAGCACACACACATAGATTATTCCTCTTCTGATGAACATTATCACTGATTACTTGTAGAAGTCAAGAATTACGAGCTCCCATTTGGGTCTAAAGTTCAAGAACAACTCTGCATGGAGGTTATGAGAGACATAGTACTGCATGGTCGAGGACGTCCAGAGATACCAAGTAACTGGTTGATACATCAGGTGAGCTATAAAGCAATTCACAAGACAAAGAACATCTGCCCTTCATGTTACAAAACTCTGTGCATGTTGAAAATACAGCACTGCCTTGCTGGACTGTAATTGTTAAACATAATTGTAATTGTTAAGCTCAGGGACAGCCACTTCTAACAGAAGATACAGTGATAAAACCTGGAAAGTTAAAGCACAGTGCTTATGAGAATCAAAATCTGGACGGGAAGGGGATATTTGGCCTCGGCAGGGCTGCTTGTCAGGATGACTCCATGTAAATTTTGACAAATCTAACCTTATCTATGCAAGGGAAGCTGGATGGACCCATGCAGCAGAATGAAGGTTGAATGAGTGTCAGGTCCCCACAGCAAACAACGTAGTACACACTTGCAAGGAGGTTTTACTTTATTGAAGCCATGAAGCACTTGAACAGGTCACTGTTCAGAATAACAATAGCTCGGAGAGCTAGGAAGGTTAAAGCAAGTTCATAATCATTACAGCCAATAAAAATGGTTCCCACGCGCGGCTGAAGGGTTTCTTGCGTGCCTAAACCTTGGGAAAGCAACTGCTACTTTATTATCAATAAGCATATGATTCACACAGTCTCTACTAATTAAAGACAAAGCAAAGCTCTCTTGCTCTTCCACCTGTGGCCTTGGCTAGATAACGTTACATCAAAGCATGGCTGGCGTATACAGAAAAGAATGCAGAGCTACTAGGGAGTTATGCGCATGACAAGTTGAGCGCATCTACAGAGGGGGGGGGAAACGGAGAGAGGAACATATGGACAAGAATAAACATTTGGCAGCTTGCTGACAATGAGGTGGTAGAATGGACTGTACCACTGCATGGTACTAATAGGGGACTGCTGCCCCAGGTTTTTTTTAAAAGTCTTATGAATTAAGTTAGAAAATCAATGAAAAAGGTTCTGCCTGTGATATTTTCTCTTTTAAAAAAATTAAGAAAAAAGGAATTCCCTTTCCCCAGAAAGCAGCAGTATGTGTACTAGACTGGTGTCTTAAATTGGCGACTGGCTGAATGAGAGTTAATCTAAGCAAGGTGGTTTAGATGACCATGAAACAGGATGCCATCAGAGAAGCTCCTATCCCCCCAGCAGCAAGCTACCCAGTCTCATAATGCAGGGGCACCAGGAACAATTAATTCAGTTAATAGGCAGTCTTATATGGGATAAGTAATTCTTCAGTTAACCTTAGTCCCCGGAAATTTAGTTTATACAGGCTAAACCCAGTTTATATAGGTTAAAACCAGCACTTTTTAGCTGTGGTCACAGAGCAGGTAATTAAGTACCAACTAAGGTATATTCAGTGCAGTGGTTCCTAGTTAACCAGGTCACTTTATTCCAAACGAGGTGAAATTTCTAAAGGCTCTTTAAAGACAGTTCTACACATAATACACCACAGTAATTAAACTGGATGTCACCAAAGCATGGATGACTGAAGCAAAGTCATTCCTTTTAAAAAGATGGTGTGGAGAAATACTTTTTTTTTAACTTTGGTGTTTGAGGCAGGAGGGAAGAAGTCAAATGCTCCCAAGCATGTCTGAGTAACCAACCATCAAAGCGTTGGAAATGCTAACAGTCGTCCTGGCCAGAGAATGTGAAATGGCCAGCTTACACTTCAGTTGGAATCTGAGACCTTGAAGCTGACATAGAGACTTGGGTGTGTGAGAGAGTAGATTATATCTTCCTGAAAACCTCAGTAAAGGATTCTTTGACCCACAAAGGGTGGGTAAACAGAGATGATACAATCCCTTGGCACAGAGGGAGAAGGTCCGTTTTGACTGATTCCATCGGGAAGAAGGAGCTCTCACTTCTGAATTCCATCTTGATGGCCACCATTGCCAAGTGAAGCAGACAAAGCACTGGCTGCCTGGACAAAGACTTTTTAGCAAACTATAATTTCTAAGTTAAACAGCCTGTCTTAGAACAAGACCAGCTAGGGCAGGTACAGGGCTGAGGGACAGAGGATCATGCGTTTACATCTTTCCCTGTATTCCCACAGTATAGTCCAGTGCAGACAGCATATGTATGGACATCTTTAAAACAAATTCTTTACTATTTAAAGTGCTGGTAGTTGTTCTCAGTACTGCTTATAACTCCACCATTTGACCGAGCTATTTAAAATGGGCTCCAGGGAAACGGAGGTGGTCTGTTGCTAAACCGCTGTTTCTCCAGGAGTGCACAAATGTGGCAAGCTGCTCCTGTGCAAGCCAGACCTTGAGTAGTAGGAGACATATGGAGCCTTAGAAGGGCAACATGGAAGAAAGCGGGGAGCAGGGCCATAGCTAGGTGGGGGTGGTGGGGGCGCCCCCTCCCAAATCTGCAACACCCCCACCCTGGGAGGATGCCAGACCCGGACATTCCCCTCTCGAGCTTTCCAAACCAGCCCGGCCATCTGAGCAGGGTGAGGGCCAGATCCCTGGGAAGTGCTCCTTGAGAAGAGCTCCCTTTCCTGCCCCTCAGCCGACCCAGGAGCACAGCAGACAGGCCACGCAGCCAGACTCTTGCTGGGGAAACTTCCATGCTGCCATTCCCTGGCTGCCCAGGGGTCCTAGCTATCTCCCTCCAGGGTGCCAGACAACAGGCCTCCCTGCCACACCAGCTGGCCCCTGCTGCCTGCGAGAGAACTCCTGGTGCTCACTGCCATCCCCTGCAGGCAACACCTCGTGGCTCTCTGGAGACTGAGGAAGTGGGCAGCATGGTATACCCTGGTGAGCAAAGGTAAGGGCTGCCAGTGCTTCCCCCTGTGGCTGCAAAGGCCGGCAGGGAAGCCAGGGCGGGCATTGGCCCCTTCCGGCTTCACTGGGATGCGAGGCAGATTGCACTCCCCCCACACTCACTGAAAATTGTCTAGCTACGGGGCTGGTTGGGAGTACTGGCTATTTTACTAGGTAATTCCTAGAAGGACCAGTTGGTGGCAGCATTCTTAAGGAACAGTGAGAGAACAATCCAAGTGTCAGGCAAGCTAGAGAGTGGTGTGTTGCTGGCCATAGATTTGGGATCATCACTGGGCACCTAGATGTCTCAGAAGCAGCCCCATAGCTAGGGGTTTTGGGGGGCCACCAGCTAATTAAATCAAAGGCTCCAGGGCAAGGGGGGGTTATGCCCAGTGGCTGCAGCTTCCCCCCCCCCTGCAAGGGCAGGCCTTCCCAGCTCCCTTCCTCCCCAAGAAGCTCCAGTGCCCAGTCCCACAGTGTGGCACCAGGGGCAGCCTGACTTCCACCCTCAGCTCCCTCCTGGGGCTGAGAGAGGTGAAGAGCATGGCGGCTGGGCTGGCCACGGAGGTGCCGTGCGTGCGAGCACAGCTGTGTCAGAGCAGGTGCCTGCCTGCCTCCTCGCCTTGCCTGGGCTTTACCATTCATGCTTGCTGCCTGGGCGGCTCTCTGCCTCACCTTGCCGCTACTTGTGACACCACCTCTGAAATCACTGCTCTCGTCCTTGGACAGGCCGACCCGCAATCAGGGGGAGCCCATAAAAACCACTAGGGGGGCGGGCCCCGTGGTAGCTACGGGCCTGCTCAGAAGGTCTAATGGAGCAGTGCTTGTGGGTCAGTGGGCCTGTTTGCCACAGACAGCAGAACATCATTGATACTAGTTAGCTATAACTATGATCAGATTAAAGCCCCTCCTAAGCTGCAGACCCATTCCTTTTTTGCAGTCAAACACATTTAGTACTACTATTTTGGAAAACGTAGCTATCATATATTAAGTTTTCCAATAAATCACATTCCCTCTGCCAATCTTGGATGGGGTAAATTGAGCACTTACTATGAGAAGTGCTCCTTGACCCAGCTCTACTTCTAGAGAAGCAGGATTTTGCTGTTGCAAGGAGTGCTTTCAGTTACATCCTGCGCACAAACTAGCCTCCCAGGCCTCACCCGTGTTATTAAGTACTCCCATGCAGGCTACCCTTACATTCAGAAACTTCAATATATACAAAATATGGTAGTCTCTCTGCTGACTGGAGCCCATGGATTTGGTCATATGACATCAATCATGTCAGTTTCAATAATTTCCCTTCTGTTTCTGCAAACAATTTAGGGTGGTTATTGCTCACCTTCCAAGCCCTTCATAACCCAAGACTCACATATCTGAAGGACTCCGTCCAAACATGAACTTTTGTGGTAGCTTTTTTCTGCTCTTTGATGATGGTGCCCGTTCAGTGGTTGCTCATCCACTGCCCGGCGATGGGCTCTCCCAGCTATCGTTCTGTGCTCTGGAGTGGGCTACCAGAAGAGGTTAGCACTTCATCTCCCCCCCGCCTGATTTTCATAAAATGCTGCAAAAGAGTATTGTTTTGACCGACCTTTATTGAGGATGGTTGCAGTCACTTGGCAGATATGAAATAAGCTACCTCTCCTTCCAAAGAAGCAGGCTGGTGCAATTGTGAGGATAAGTTTATGCTTGTGGTAGGTTTAAACTTGTTTTCATATTTTAACGCTTCTGCAAGTTCTGCATATATTGAAAGCTGCCCAGCCACCTGTTTCTCAGTAGGAATGCTGGAGTATGAATATTTCAAAGAAATATGTAGCGTCTTAACAGCTCAAAAGTAAACCTCACAATAAGGGGGTGGGGGTGGAATCTATTTTGAACTTGCTAAAAGTTAATTAGTTTGCATCTGGGCAATGACAGGCACAAGGGGTTTTTAAACTTATGACAGAAATCATCATCCTTGAAGTTGCCCCGTTCTGACATTCATCCCCCGCCCCCCTTGCCCTAGCTTCGGGTTGCTCATCTCTCACGCTTGTTTCAGGGAATGCATTTCCTGAGTGACACCATCATAGAATGCTGGGATCATGACCCTGAAGCCAGACTCACGGCCCACTGCGTGGCAGAACGTTTTAACCTGATGGCACAAATGGACTGCGATGACATCCTCAACAACAACCACCACCACAACACGGACAGTGAGGCAAGCAAACTGGGCTGCCCAAGAGAGGAGCATCAGAACAGTGACAGGAACATGTAGCGATGGAAGAAAGAGATCAGGGCGGGACAGAAGCACTCAAGGCCTTGCCACTCTGCAAAAACATACCAAACACCCCCACCCCACCCCCAATTCAGAGAGTAAAACAGAGCCCGAGGCCTTTTATTCCCTAGGCAGAGCCACTGTATTCTTTTTTTAATGCACAACAAAAATATGTACGTCATTTCATAATTTCAAATGTAAAATACACATTTGCTTTCTTCTAAGAATGATTATTAACCATTGGGCATTTTAAAAAGTTATTTTTCCTTTACTGGGGTGGGGAAGGGGAGATGCAGAAGGAGACTTAAGCAAAAGCAGTCCTTAGAAGAAACTGACAGCAGCGACTAGATAATCAGGTAAGGGCCACGATCGCCTTTTTTTAAATTAAAGCTTCTATCGATATAGACTTACAGTGTTTCCGAACAATTTCGTCACGCAACTCGAATTTCTCAAGGAACCATAATCAACTGAGATTGGCTTTAAAAGTGTAGGCCTGCCATCTGATGACTGAAGTGTTTTGGCAATCTTCTTGTCTGTTAGGCAGGATGTTTTCTCCCTTTCAGCCGTATCTGACAATGATAGGTCTTTTGTCCCTTAAGCAGACTCTTACCTAAAAACTCTACCAATATCTAGAGCAGACACTAAGCATGGATTTTTTTTTTTTTTTAAGTACATGTGCTTCTGTCCAGGAATCCATAGAGGTTCATCATGTTCACCCATAAAGCCACTCACTGATGATCTCTCTGGAGCAGATCTTATAGTGCAACTAGTGGGCCAGAATCCAGAGTGTAACCCAGAGGTTCCCAAACTTACTTGGCCTACTGCCCCCTTTTTCAGAAAAAAAAAAAATTACTCAGCGCCCCCCTGGAAATCTATCTTCAAGAACTGGACAAAAAGATTCAGTGACAAATTTGCACATAGTAAGGAAAGATGCTGTTGGCCTGAAGCCAGAGACCAGCAGCAACCACCACACAATAGGCACAGCAGCAACACCAGTCTTACAAGAGTGCACATGCATTTGCAATTTGCAAATGCATGGCTGTGATTGGCTGTGGGGACCCCCCTCCCTGATCTCAAGGAAGCCCAGGAGAAGGCAGGAAAAGGCTGCTTTAGATAGGTTCTGGACTCTTCTTTCTTTATACTTCCACCGCCCCCTTATTTTTATTCAACACCCCCCAGGGGGTGGTATTGCCCACTCTGGGAACCAGTGGTGTAACCTTTAAGCACACTTACTAGGAAATGGTATAAGGTAAACATGCCTAACAGGATACCAACTACACTTTCTTTTTGAAGTTTGGCTTCTGTAGCAAGACATTAAATGGCTGAAACGTCCGTTTTTCCTGCTTGGTAAGTCCTATTAGGAGATAGACTCATATACTTTTGAATGGGTCACTCTCATACAAAGCTCTGTACATTTATTGGAAGTAGAAAGATGCCATTGTCCAAACTGAAGAAAAAGGTGTAACAGTTTGGTTTTAAATTCTACACAGCCATGAGTACAATATGCACTTTTTAAAAAATAAAGCGAGATGAGCGGTGAATTTCAGGATTCTTAAAAGTCCACCAGATCCTGACCATGAAAATCAGATGCTACAGTCTGATGCCCATCTTGCCGTCAGCATCATTCAACTTACTATGAAAAGAGACAAAACAAACAATTCATTTTGGTAACTTTATTTCCTCCCCTCCCCCCCTCTCACACATGGAATCGTAAACTAGTTGCATTCGGATTTCAGTGCATTTCACAGCAAAAAAAAAAATGTACAAGGAAATCTCAACAGGTATGCATACCCCCTCCCCTGTTTCCTTTTCTGTATGATTCTCAGACTTTGTGGGAAATGAATACGGTCATTCGACCACTTTTTGATGCATTCTGAAATTCTTTCCCCTTAATATGGAAGGGGAAAAAAATTAAAAACCACTTGACCAGCATACACACAGTTCATAATTTTTCATGGTAAGGAGAGGGCCCCCTGTTGACACGGACCAGGGGGTGACAGACAATGGTATATACAATGACTGGAAGACTACATCAGAAGAAACAGAGTAAGGCACCACTCTTAGAAAAATTAAGGTAGCTTGTAGTAACAATAATGAAAGCCATAAATCAGTACTATTCTTAATTGCCAGCAATTCTTAGACTTTAATAAAATATCAGCATCATAAAAAACAAGGGGCATTTTTTTTTACCTGAACATCGTTTCCTGATAGCAGATTGCAATTGGTTATGTATGCAGTCCCATAGCAAAAACACAAGCCTTTTCAGGAATGATAGAAAAATCAAAAGTGACGGTCTAATCACTGGGTGTACACCAATGCATGACTTTAAGCATACAGGCAAGACAATTTAGATCACTTGCCTGGACTGTCTCACACTGACTCTCTGTTTCAGAGAGATGATCCAAGGGGAGGGGGTTAAGAGGGAAGAGAGTTAAAGGAAATGAATACCGGATGTTTAAAAGGTTGCATTATTTAGGTCTAGGCCTTCGTCTTTATGAGACAGAACATCTTCATGGCATTTACAACACGAAGCCACTAAAAGCAGTCTTTGGGGAAAGAAATAATCTGGTGTTGAATTTTTTTTTAAAAAAATTATTCCCTAACCCCACCCCGCCGTCAATTTGAGTCAACTCTTAAATATAGAGAAAACCCCACAGTTACAATTCTAATCTACTTAAGAAAGTTTTTAAAAGGCGGCTGACATGAATCACTCATTCTCCCACAGACACACATACATTTCCACTGATGAATATATATTTTTTTAAAGTGTCAAGTCCTGATCCAGATGGTTCATAACACTGATTCCAAGTTCAACTTCTGAAAAGTCTCCTCTTCAAGTTTTTCAGTGTGGGCTATTCAGAGCAGCAAAAGGTCGTTTCTCTTTATATGGGCACTGAAGTTCAAAAGTGGGCGAAGACTGAAGCACAGACTCTGAAAACTGTTCAGGTATCTCTCCAGAGGAAAATTAATTTGGGCAAAACAGCGAAGCACTCTGAATGCGACTGCTTACAGGAGGATATCTTTTTTAAAAAGGTCTTAGGCAGCTTTGCAGGAGGGTGTGCTTAGAAAGAACACAATAGATGAGATAAAATCTTTAGAGCCATATAAAAAGTTCTGGTGAAAAAATGAAGCACATACCTGGGCAAAGTTCTCTCTCTTTCTAACTTTTGATTTTCTGCAGCTTTAAAGTGCCCTAGCAGTTTTATTCCTTTTATGCTTATGTAATTTGTGCAATTGTATAAGAATCCCAAAGGACTCTTGGGGAAATACAGCATTTCGGAAGTTGTCGGGATTAGACACGAGAGAAGAATCATTCTGAAGAAACGCCTTCTAATTTGCATCCACTGGTTGATTTTGTACAGCAGGCATTCTTTTCCAAAGAGGGTTATAATAAACCCAGCCATCTCCCTGCAATTCAACAGAGAATGAGTTAGTTAAGTAACCATTTTCTATATAAATTGATTAGTGGCTTCAGGTTAAAAAAGTAAAGGTAAAGGTTCCCTTGCTCGAAAGCCAGTCAAGTCCGACTCTAGGGTTGCGGTGCTCACCTCCGTTTCAAAGCCGAAGAGCCAGCGCTGTCCGAAGACGTTTCCGTGGTCATGTGGCCAGCATGACTAAACACCAAGGTGCACGGAACGCTGTTCCCTTCCCACTGAAGTGGTCCCTATTTATCTACTTGCAATTTCTTGCTTTCGAACTGCTAGGTTGGCAGGAGCTGGAACTAGAGATGGGAGCTCACTCCATCATGCGGCACACTCGGGTCTCGAACTGCTGAACTACTGACCTTCCACAGCCTGCAGTTCAGCATCTTAACCACTTGAGCCACCGCAGCTCCAGGTTGCCTGAAGCTAAAAATAGCATTTGCTCAAGTGGCAATCCAGTCCTTAGCCATACTGGAATACCAGAACTTTTGAAGAAGCACACATTTGTTTATCTGACCTGATTGTGGCCAATACATTCTGAATTTTTGCTGTTATCTCCCAGATACAGTTTATATACTTAATCTTGTTTGGGAGATTATCTTCCAAGATGTGCTACAGGGTACATCAAGATATAAGAAGCCGGTCACGACCTCTTTCTCTTTCCACAAAGCTGAGCCACGTAACTTGCCTACCGAGCTTCCGACATTTTCCCTCATTGCTACCTGGTGGCTTTTCTCACAGATACTTCAAAGCAGAGGATCTACTTAATTCCACCACAACCGAAATCTAACCTCGGTGCCAAAACCTACATATTCAAGCCATTTCAGAGGGAAACTCATCTGAAGGAGTTTGTGAAGTATTTCAACAATTAAGGGAAGGGGCATTAAGAATGTAAAAAAGAAAACTGT